GAAGCGTGACCTTCAACCTCTGTTCACTTTGCTCCATCTCGGCCTATCTTATCTGTCGGTTCTGCCTTGACTCCTCCCACCTTCGGCTCCTCCAAAGATCCTCGGCCTTGCGGTTTCACTGGGTTCCCTTGTCCCACCGGCTCTCCTTTGGTCAGTCGTCACTCTACTTCTGCTACCAACTTACGGGCTGTCTGCTGTCCTCGGGTACTCTGGTTCTGCCTCAGACATTCATCGCCACTGCATCGCCTGGGTCTCCAGCACCAGCGATGGCGCTCAGCTCCATCAGCCGTCCCCCAAATGTCAAATTGTATTCACTAGTTTCCTGTTCCTTAGTTTGAATTTGCCACCACTCTTTAGTTACCATGGTTACGATGGCTAGTTTGGTTCAGCTGTGCACTCCTCATTATCTCATGTATATAAGTTCATCTGTGTTCCTTTTAGTTTGTCCGGTCACCATTATGTTAAGTGTGTTTTGCTACTGCCTGTTTTGTGGAAGATTATTATTAAACTTTGTGTTTTGGAACTTTATTCGTCGTCTTTGTATGGTGGCATAGAGAGCTCAATGTGCTGCAAATGAAAAACACAGGCAAATAGAAAGAAAAAAAACACCAGCGAGTTAAGACAACACCTTTATCAGTTTGGCAATACATGTGCTGCAAATACTCTATGTTTGTCCTTGCTGGAGGTCAGCAGTCACCGAACGGTCACATCATGGAAAAGAGCTGTGAAGATTCTTTAGATCCTTTCATGTTACCTTCCACAGAAGAACAAAGCAAAGGGTTTGGAATGAATAAATGATGACAGGAATTTCATTTTGGCGTGAAGTATTATTTAGCTATACACATCTGTCATATGTGAATGCTGACCCGTCCATCAGGACTGCTGTGGTTTCTGCCGTACGGGCGTTCAAGCTGAAGCTCTCTAGGGAATCACTAATCCTCAGCTGTTCAGAGGAGTCAAGTCAAGTCAAGTCACCTTTATTTATATAGCGCTTTTAACAATACAGATTGTGTCAAAGCAACTGAACAGCATTAATTAGGAAAATAGTGTGTCAATAATGCAAAATGACAATAGTATGACAATTTTTCAGTTAAAGACAGTTCATCATTGAATTCAGTGATGTCACATTCAGCTCAGTTCAGTTTAAATAGTATATGTGCAATCAAGTCAACGATATCGCTGGAAATGAAGTGTACCCAACTAAGCAAGCCAGAGGCGAACCTCACAAATGATTTAGAGTAAAGCTCAGGCTATTTTTAGCCTGTGTGAGCTCTTCAGTGTGTCAGGGTTTGCAGCGGATAGCAAACAAATAAAGCTGCAGAAACACATCCACATGAACTCATGTGAACCACACTGAGGATTGACTGCGTATCGCTGCTGAATGAGCAGTTCTCACCATTCTGTTTCAACTGTTGAATGTTTCCATTCTTAGCCTACGCTTCATGTGTTTGTTCAAGGATTTTTCGCATTTGTTCACTGTTTTAGAATAACAAAATAAATACTTAACACAATAAATGCATGTACAAAAATCTTTTAATGACCTCCTTTATATCAAGTGTCTCATGTTTTTATGATTTACTTACATTTAAAAATACCTGAATGTGAATACATAGCAATTAAATATATACAATGAAGTAGCATAACTAAAGACAAATACTAGCTTTAATAACCATTTATTTTGTTCACTAAAAATGTGTATTTTTGCCAATAAAGCAAGAGTAAGTTGTAAACAGAGGTGAGGACACAAAACCTCAAACCAGGGATATTATAGTTAACTAAAACTAAAACCATTTAAAAAAATTACTTAAAAAAAATAAAAAATAAAAACATATTTCTCATTTTAATTTCGTTTAACTTGATGTACTAAAATAACTCAAACTGAAATAAAAATTAATAAAAACTATATAGACATATTCAAAAACAACAAAATGTTATGATGCAGAGAGATGCACATGTTTTAATAACAGGTCTAAACACAGATAGTCCAGGCTGAGAAACAAGCAAAAAATCCACAAGAGCACAAAGGAGAAAAACAAGAACATCCGAGATCCTCGAGTGAAACAAGCACACCGACAACTGAAAACAACGACTGGCAAAACATGACTGAAACACAAGGGCTTATACACACAGAGAACTGATTATAGGTGTGTCTAATCACAGGAACCATAGTAACTAACAACACAAGAGAAACAGAAACCAAACACAGGAAGGAAGCATGAATCAAAGGAAACTAAGAATACATTTCAACATAAAAGTCCTTACAAAACACCCAGACACAGAACAGGCATCGAGACACAAATGACAAAAACACACAACAAACTTACTAAAACATTAACTAAAATTAAAAGGAAAAAGGAAAAAGGAAAAAAAAAAAATATATATATATATACATTAAAAAACCTAATTCAAAATATCAACCAAAACCTCAGTATCTCAATGATACTAAAATAACAATAACTGTCTGTCCTGTTCAGTCCCATGATGAGGAAAAACGTGATTTTTTATCCTCTGAACATCTGATGTCTTTTGTGTTTTGCTTTGAATTACAGGTGCATTGAATCTTTCTAAACTCGTGAGAAAGTGTTGAAACTGTTCAAGCATTCAGACAGGTAATAATTGTGATAATTGTGAAATGATGACTCTGCTTGTTGTAATTATTAATTTGATTTGCATACTAGATCACGGAGAAAATCCTGCAGATGTGAGATGATCAGATGTGATAATACATGTGATCATTTTGGCTGGATTAACCCTTTAGTGGTGATTTATATCTCTGTGATGGACGGAGAGCCACATGTTCACCTTTATCTGAAGTCAAACGACCGTGTCATTTATCTGAAGAGCTTTTTTATATTGATCTTATAAAAAATCATGGTTTTCCGTTTAAACCTGTTTGGTCCAGTTTGGCTAAAAGCAAATAACACTCACATAGAAATAAAAATGAAAAGAAACAATTTTGTTTAAAAAGTATTATCCTGAATGTAAACAAATTATTGCAGTATGTATGTATTTATTTATTTATATGTAACAGTACATAACAGAAAAAAAGTCTTTGAAGTTTGACTTTATTTATAGTAAGTAAACTAAATTAAACACTGACTAACAAAATGGTTTATTGTATCTTTAGTGAAAATTATACTTCCATATTACAGCTAATTTAGCTTTTGTTTATGGTGAAATTAAGTTACAAAATTAAAAAATTATATATATATATATACTGACCTACATTAAGTAACATTTTGGCTTATATCTGAAGAAAATATATTGATCAAGAATATGTTTTTTATAATAAATATTCCTTTTACTTTGCATGAATGCTTTTATCTTTGGGAAAATAATTTTTTTAATTAATATTAAATCAAAATGTAAGGTTTGAACCAAGTCATATATCATTTGAGAAAAACTATTACATGGGGCTGTAACAAAGTATTTTAAAAACGTTTGTTAGTTCGGAGAATGGTTCATTCTGCTCTGTTTTATTGAGCTGATATAGTTTGAACTATTGCTTTCACGTGTACGATCATTTCATTCAAGAATAACAAGGTGAACATGCAGTGTATTTATATCCAAACTAATGAATGCCACTAATGGTCAGATGCATGCTGAACACGGGGGTTAATCTGTGCAGATTCATTCATTTATTTGTTTGTTTATATTTTGGGCCACAACACATTTGATGTTTCTATGCGTCTGATTTGTGTAAGTTTCAGTGTAAGTGAGCTGCAGCACTAATGAACACAGACAGACTCACTCATGCTTTGATTTCAGGTCATGTTTTCTACATCAGCCGGATGTTCAGCTGTTCTCTTCTATATTAACCTTCAAATATATTGCTAAATGTACTTGAAGGGGCAAGAAAATGCATTTCCAATCTAAAAATATATGAATGTGAGACTGGTGGGTTTATATTGCACAGATCATTCTCCAGCCTCTGTTTAGCAACAGAAATCATACATATGCAACAGAGGGAATAAAAACAGACTCGTCTGTGTTCATGTCACGTATTTCACACCGCTGCAGTGACAGCACTATTTATAGCATCCCTTAAGTGCAGCACTTGAACCTGCTGAGGGGATTTTTCAAGCTAGGTGAGGCAGCTGTAAGAACAGGTGACAATCACAGACGGACGGTGTTTTCATACACCTGAACACATATCAATATCACATTTATCAGTGATTGAGCCTCTGGATCATCAGTGCAGAGAAACCTGCTGAAAGCTTCTGATTGGATGCTTGAACATTGGGTTTGTAGACAGATAGGGCATGTATTTCAGTACAAAACGGATATTTTGATTTAGTTTGAATGAACTCATAATTCACAAAGTCATGTGAGGCACACAGCGACAGAAGATGACGCTGCAAAGATTCCTCTTGTGTGATTTTTGCAGTATTATTCCAACATTATTATTCAGAACGAGTGCAAACGCCCAACAGGTGTATTTTAATAGTTTAATAACTTAGCGTAAAAGAGAATTACATATTGAGAAATATGCAACATGTAACGCTTTACATTAAAGTGACATAGTTACACGTTACATGTAGTAACAATAAATACCGCATAATCACAAGCAGCTAAATCAAACCTTAAGTCTATTAACCACATCTAGTTAATTATTACTACTCAGTATTATTTGTATAATTACACTGTAACAACAACACCTTAACATAAAGTGTAACAAACCATCAAATGTTCATTTATCAGATTTGTTACATATTTTCATATTGATTTATTTTTGGTAACTCTTTATTTTACAGTGTCCTTGTTACACATCTTACAAGCAACTAACCCTAAATCAAACCCTAACCCAGGCAGCACATGAATATTACTCAGTACTAATTTGTGTAGTAACAACGTCATCTTAGAATAAAGTGTAACCATATTTTACTTAAGATTGTGTTACATATGTAACTGTGCATGTGACATAAAATCTTACATTTTGATTTATCGTCATTCTTTGGGTCAAGGACGAAACGATGCGACTGAAATCATAAATTCCTAATAAACCCTAGTGCAAACCTATCTTAGTGCATTCCTGTCCTTGCTCGCTGCCGACTGATCCGCAGTGGGTTACACTTCGTGTGTCTGTTTCCCTGAAGCTCAGCGCGAGACCCGCGTGTCAATCAGCAGAATTAGCGAGCCGCATCGCGCAGGCGTGATCCAGTCTGAGCCGCGCGAGTTCCAGGCCAGTCGCTTCCGTCTCTTCAGCTCTACCTCTCCCGCTGGACATGCCCCCCGGCCCCCGGCGACCCTCCGCGCCTCTGCCGCACCTGTCCGGCGCGTGAATGGCCCCCCCGCCATGGACGAAATGCCGTTCCAGAAAGTCAAGACCCGGCGCAGGAGGAGCCACTGCCCGCCCGGGGTCATCGCGTGCGAGGACGAGTTCGACTGCAAGGAGCTCGAGTCGCTCTTCCACAACTACAACCTGAAGCTCGACCAGACCTGCACGCTGAAGGCGCTGTCCGTGCTCATCCTGCTGTCGTCCAGCCTCAGCCTGCTGGAGCTGCTGCTGTCCGGCGCCAGCCTCACCATCGCCAAGGGCTCGTACCCGGTGCACTTCGTCATCTTCATCTCGCTCTTCATCGTCACCAACGTCAAGTACCTGCAGGTGAGCCAGCTGCAGCAGATCGCGCACTTGAGCCTGCTCTTCTGCTTCAGCTTCTCGGTGCTGTGCTGCCCGTTCCCGCACGTGTCGGGCGCCGCGGGTCCGGAGCAGGGCGTGTGGCAGCTGCTGCTGCTGACGTTCGTGGCGTACGCGCTGCTGCCGGTGCGGACGCTGCTGGCGGTGCTGTTCGGGCTGCTGGTGTCCCTGTCGCACACCATCGTCACGGCGGCGTCGGTGACGGCGAAGACGCAGCGGCTGTGGAGAGCGGTGAGTTCAGCACTGGACAGCGATCAGACTCCGGGTTACTTAAGCCTCACAGTGCATTCGAAACCTGCTTTCGAAGTCCGAAGAGTCGTTATTTAATCATTCAGTCATAATTTAATGTTTTTCAACTGAACCCATATTGTATCTGATCAGCCGCTTCTCATCAATGAGTGAATGTGAAAAAAAAGTTTTGAAAAGTTACCATGTTTTTACTGCACTTACCCATGTTTTTTATTAATTTTTTAAAAATTGAGAAAATCTTTGAAATGTCAAATTACACATTAACTACACCAAAAAAACTATGATGCAAAATATATATATTTTCAATATTGATGGGAAATTTTATTGGAATATATCACTGTAAAATCGGAGAATTACAGTATTAACCCCACTGGAATTAACAGAATTTAATTAAATTTGACTTTATAACTCATGATTGCTCAAAAACAGACCAAATTTATGAAACCTACGTTTATTTGTAACAAAAAAACATAAATATTACTCTTAAAAGCTTCAAACGAAATAACTTCATTCTGATTGCATAAACCTTCAGTAAACTGCTGAAGTTTTCTTGCACTGCAATGGTTCAACAAAGTTCAGTCCCAAAGGTGTGTGAGATATGGGGAAAAGGCATTTTACTAAAGTTTTTTTGACATGAATATAACTTTTACAGAAACTAGTTTTGACACCTAATGGGACTTCATACATATCCGGGTGACCTGAACATGAAACATGTAACATGTTTTTAAATGGTTATATGAAAAGAAGATGTGTATTTTGAGGGTCTTAAAGCATTTGCAAAGTATCGTTCCCTTACTTAAAGCCATGCATTTTTTTTTAGTTTTATCTTTTTTTTTTTATGTAGCTCCTCTGGGCCAAAAATATACCTGATGCATTATGAGCGTTAAGAGCAGAGATGGGCCTCATGTCACCAGTAAACTTACTTAAACCGTTTAACTTGAGCAGATGTTTCTACATGAAACATAATTCAGATTAATAAAGTGCAATCATTTTGCACTTAAATTTGACAAGATAATACTATTTCAGTCTCTGTCACATTTAATTCAATGTGTTACTAGCCATTTCTTTATAATAATGTGTGAAATTTCTGAGTGAAAGTTGATACAAAGTAAATCCTACACCAGTTTTTTCAGTGTGTTTCACATTGTGATACATGATTAGCAAGAGAATGTTTCTGTTTAAAACAACAGGTGAATCACTCCATGCAATCAAGTTGTATGATTTGCTTACTTAATATTTCAAGTTAAGTGCATAAACATGCCTGTGCAAAAAAAAAAAAATCTAAATAAATCTAAATCTACAGTTAATTTATTAACTTAAAAAAACTGCCATTTGTATTTTCTGCAGTGTTTGATTTATTGCAGTCAGACTGATTTTAAACAGAAAGAGTGTTACTATCAATCAGCTTCTGAAAGGTTAAATCTGTAATAATGTCTGTGGGCTGGGTTTCATTAGGTGCGGGACAGAATGTGGTCAGTTTGACATGAGTGTTAATGCTGAGCCACAGAGCTGATTCAGCTCAAATACAGTTTATGACTGAACAGTTTGCAGCTGTAACAGTGAATTTACACTTAAGATGCTGAGACTGATACTGTAATAAGACACAGAGAATGTGTGCTGCAGGTTCATACAGTATCTATATAGTCCTCCGCAGTGGCTCTGATAGACGGATGGTCGTCACACATTCTCCTGTGTGTGTTTGAGGAGCGGGTCCAGAGACCAGCAGCGGAGCGGCTCTATGTAGGACGGCTCTGAACGGAGGCCAGACACACTTCTGAAAGCTATTTTAGCACAGAAATGAGGAGGATGCTCTGTACGGATGATCCGGACAGGATTCACAGACTGCGTTAGGTGTGGAGTTAGGCTTAGAGACCCGCGCTGTGTGAAGATCACGCAATCCGTCTCCTGCATTTATAATGATTATAATGACAAAACTCATTTTAATGGGTTGAATCAGGTAGAAATAGTTCTTTAAGGTATTAGTGTAATGCTGCTGCGTCACTCATTACTGAACACTGATGCTTCATTTCACGCTCAGTTTCACCGACAGTTGTGTAATGAAACGTTTCAGAGCGTAGTTCGAATTGTAACACATAACGTGTCAAGTTATGGTCACATGTACGGCGCATCGTCTATTTTTCACTGACGAAATGTATTCATTTCAATAGGAATCCATGCAGTTGTTAATTTCAGATGAGGGCAAAAGCTTTCCTCACGCAGATTTCACATCGGGTTCAGCTGGTCATGCAAATTTGCTGCACTGACCAAAAGACAGCTGCTTCGTTTCATACATTTTGTGCTACACTATTGAAAGTAGGCCACGGACCTTTTTTGCCTGATGAAATTTCTCTCATGTGAGCATGCTTAGATGGTCAGTGTTTTATAGACGTTCAGTTTCTTCTCTCAGATCAACTGCATCATGATGGAACAGCAGTTCAGCAAGTTCAGCTACCTGAACAATAACTGCTTAAATCACTGTTAATGGGTAGATTTGATTGTTTTATTCTCGAATGAGAGCAGGTTGAGTATGTGGGACTGTGCGCTTGAACTGTGTTGCCAAATCTTGTCATCCTGATGCCTTCAGAAAGTAGACAGAAACACACAGCACTTCTGCTGAAAGGGGCTGTTCGCACAGAACCTGCTTTGCTTTGAAAAACACGAGACACCAGTGGCAAGGAGGAAAATGCAAGGTCTCAAGAGGTGTTTTTTAAAAGTTGAACTTTTTTTATTTCAACACTGTGTTTTTGCAAAAGACACGAGACGCGAGCGCAGTGGTCAAAGATGTTCATCTACCACGTGTTTGCATAGAAAAGCAATGGAAAAGCAGTGCAGTGGAATGGAAAAATGTGTTCCATGTGAAGTTTCCTCCGCTCGCTTCAGCTCTGTTGGTCTGTGTGCAAATCAGTGAGTTTTCAGCATGTGAGAGAGAGCAAGGCCGACTAAATAAAGGCTCGGTGTGCATGTCCTCTGACAAATCTAATCCAATAAAGAGCAGATAGACTCACGTCCCTGAACTCTACGACCTGCAGCGAACACAAAACCAGCTCTGAGCTCACTGAAGAGGACAAACACATGTCAGAAGAGTTATGCACACAAGCACACGAACACTTTTCATGCTCTAAACACAACTAAACTACATCTATCCATCAGTCACACTCGACCATAGCCGTACGCTGTGGAAGCTCACAGACAGCATCTATATTAAACCAGTCTTTTATTATATCTTACATATCTTGTGTCCTGTCAGTGATTATGGTTTCAGTGCTGTTGTGTTTGTGTTTCTCAGCTGGTTGCGAACACGCTGCTCTTCACCAGTGTGAATCTGTCGGGTCTGTTTGTGCGGATGCTGACGGAGAGAGCTCAGCGCAGAGCCTTCCTTCAGGCCCGAAACTGCATCGAGGAGAGACTGCGCATGGAGGACGAGAACGAGAAACAGGTCACGCTCTTAATATATATACAGTAAAAACAATCAAACCTTCGGTGGATTCCTTTATATAGAATGACACTTTAAAAATGTTTTGGCTCAATAGGAAACTAAGTTTGCACAGAGTTTTTTGAGTTATGACAACTTCTAATAACAAACTACATGAGCAGAGGAAATAAATAATCTGTATATTTTTGAAACTGAACTAGTTAACTAAATAACTGGAACTGAATAAACACAAAGTTGATTACGGTACTCAAAACAATGAAGTTGTTCCAGCTAACTGAGTGCTGGCATCGGAACCAATTAATCTTGTCTATTTCAGTTATGGAGCGAGATTAGTCTCAATAATAATTCACGCAAAAGACACAATGCACACATGCGTAGCCCAATTCACATGCAAAAACCAACTCACGTGCACAAAACAAGAAATATATATATATATATATATATATACCTTTCACAAACACAAAACACAATTTACAGATGTACCACTGTGTACAAAAGTTATTATTGAGACTAATCTCGCTCCATAGTCACTGGCATTAACCCTAACCATGAGCTCCACTCTTCAGCACAATGATAAAAACTTCAACATTACGGAAACTCTTTTAAATGTGAAATATAAAAAGTCTTTCCCATTACTAAAAATTATCCAGTTCAATGCAAAACATGCTGGGAACTAGAAACTCACTGCCCAATTTTGACAGTTTATTAAGTTACTAACTTATTTTAAAAATATATATATAATAAAAAAACATGCAGTATGAAGCTTATGTAATGATCATAACAATAAATCAATAAATTTCATCAAAACAAATAAATCAATAAATCTGTTTTGTTTTTTAAACGTGCAACCGTGCATTTAGTTAAGTTATGGTAAGAGGTTCCCTGAATATCATTGACCGTATAATATTCATTGTATTTCCTGAGAAAGGCTCGTTCAGTTCTCGCTGTCTCATGTGCGTCTCTGTGATGATGGTTGCACGCGTGCAGGAGCGTCTGCTGATGAGTCTGCTGCCCAGAAACGTGGCCATGGAGATGAAGGAGGACTTCCTGAAACCCCCAGAGAGGATCTTCCACAAGATCTACATCCAGCGGCACGATAACGTCAGGTAACACCGGCTGACACGCTTCATTTCTAGGGTCTGTGTAAATGCAGAGGTTTACTGTGAGGAAAGGAACTGCTTCAGTGGCTGTTATGATCACAGAAGCTGTCTGAGTGAGAATCTTAATAGTTCATTCATCAGTACACTCATACGAGTCTAATCAAACAAATCTAATGGAAAATCATGGTTTTGTTTTATTTTGGTTTGACGTCAGTGTTGATGTGCAGAACACATACTAACCAGCTTTACTGCAGAAGTGTTTGTAATTTTCCTCTTTGTTTCTCATTGTGTCTTTAGTGTTTTCGAGTTGATTCAGTGAGTTTATTGCCAGTGTGATGATGATCTTGTTCTGGATTGCAATATCAGACTCTGTGCTTGAGTCTTAAACCCAGAGTTGTTTTGATCAGGGCTAATCTGCATGTTACTGGATATTATATCTGTGAGGACTCCTGAATCATAGGGACATTGAGAAGACCTGTAATAGTGAGTGTCAATGTACCACAGAACTCATGAAGCATTATGAAGTAAACCCAAGACCACTGACGTCAACCCTCGACTGGACTGTTGGACCTTTATATCATGATCGATATATCGCGTCACTGCGCTGATAGTTGCTCTTCTGTACTATTGGTTATCCAGAAAAAAAAGAAATCTATGTCAGTAGTCGCTGATAGTTTGTTTTATTCCTCTGTGTTTCTCTGTAGCTGATCGACTGTATAACAGCAGCCTTAAAACATACGGGGCACATGATATAAAATATATACAGTGCCATTCAAAAATTACATTTATTACTGTAAGACAAACGACTTGCGTTGATTTCACTTCTGTGGCTTTCTCATGCATCATAAATTTAATTTGGCCTTAAAATAAACAAAATGATAAATTTCTGCATGTCAGTAGTGAAGCGTATATACAGTGGGTACGGAAAGTATTCAGACCCCCTTAAATTTTTCACTCTTTGTTATATTGCAGCCATTTGCTAAAATCATTTAAGTTAATTTTTTTTCCTCATTAATGTACACACAGCACCCCATATTGACAGAAAAACACAGAATTGTTGACATCTTTGCAGATTTATTAAAAAAGAAAAACTGAAAAATGCTCAGTATTTAGTAGAAGCACCCATTTGATCTAATACAGCCATGAGTCTTTTTGATGCAACAAGTTTTTCACACCTGGAATTGGGGATCCTCTGCCATTCCTCCTTGCAGATCCTCTCCAGTGTGTACATTAATGAGGGAAAAAAATTAACTTAAATGATTTTAGCAAATGGCTGCAATATAACAAAGAGTGAAAAATTTAAGGGGGTCTGAATACTTTCCGTACCCACTGTATATTTATTTACTTTATTTAATAATTACAAAGCATTTTCATGGTTAAGTCATTATTCTGAATTTTGTAATGAAGTTCAACAGTATTTTACATTGAGTGAATTTAAAAAAAATTCTTATTATTGATTTCAAAACCCATTTTTTTCACCTTAGTTATCAGTTTTGGTTAAATCCTCAGGATTGTTATGATTTTTAAGATTTTAGATTCTCATGGAGCGTGTTGAGTAAATGACCACATGATCGGTGCAGGTTTGTCCTGTGGTGTGTGTTTTGTGTGTGTGTGTTTGTGTGTGTGTGTGTGTGTGTGTGTGTGTGTGTGAGTGAGTGAGTGAGTGTGTGTGTGTGTGTGTGTGTGTGTGTGAGTGAGTGAGTGAGTGTGTGTGTGTGTGTGTGTGTGTGTGTGAGTGAGTGAGTGAGTGTGTGTGTGTGTGTGTGTGTGTGTGTGAGTGAGTGAGTGAGTGTGTGTGTGTGTGTGTGTGTGTGTGTGAGTGAGTGAGTGAGTGTGTGTGTGTGTGTGTGTGTGTGTGTGAGTGAGTGAGTGAGTGTGTGTGTGTGTGTGTGTGTGTGTGTGAGTGAGTGAGTGAGTGTGTGTGTGTGTGTGTGTGTGTGTGTGAGTGAGTGAGTGAGTGTGTGTGTGTGTGTGTGTGTGTGTGTGAGTGAGTGAGTGAGTGTGTGTGTGTGTGTGTGTGTGTGTGTGAGTGAGTGAGTGAGTGTGTGTGTGTGTGTGTGTGTGTGTGTGAGTGAGTGAGTGAGTGTGTGTGTGTGTGTGTGTGTGTGTGTGAGTGAGTGAGTGAGTGTGTGTGTGTGTGTGTGTGTGTGTGTGAGTGAGTGAGTGAGTGTGTGTGTGTGTGTGTGTGTGTGTGTGAGTGAGTGAGTGAGTGTGTGTGTGTGTGTGTGTGTGTGTGTGAGTGAGTGAGTGAGTGTGTGTGTGTGTGTGTGTTTGTGTGTGTGTGTGTGTGTGTGTGTGTGTGTGTACATGTTACACCGGCTCATGGGGACTCGTGTCACTGTGGGATCTAAATTGAGGTCCTCATGGGGAAACAAGCTCATAAATTTTTAAAAAGTTTGTGAGTGTGTGTGTGTGGGTGAGTGAGTGTGTGTGTGTGGGTGAGTGAGTGTGTGTGTGTGGGTGAGTGAGTGTGTGTGTGTGGGTGAGTGAGTGTGTGTGTGTGGGTGAGTGAGTGTGTGTGTGTGGGTGAGTGAGTGTGTGTGTGTGGGTGAGTGAGTGTGTGTGTGTGGGTGAGTGAGTGTGTGTGTGTGGGTGAGTGAGTGTGTGTGTGTGGGTGAGTGAGTGTGTGTGTGTGGGTGAGTGAGTGTGTGTGTGTGGGTGAGTGAGTGTGTGTGTGTGGGTGAGTGAGTGTGTGTGTGTGGGTGAGTGAGTGTGTGTGTGTGGGTGAGTGAGTGTGTGTGTGTGGGTGAGTGAGTGTGTGTGTGTGGGTGAGTGAGTGTGTGTGTGTGGGTGAGTGAGTGTGTGTGTGTGGGTGAGTGAGTGTGTGTGTGTGGGTGAGTGAGTGTGTGTGTGTGGGTGAGTGAGTGTGTGTGTGTGGGTGAGTGAGTGTGTGTGTGTGGGTGAGTGAGTGTGTGTGTGTGGGTGAGTGAGTGTGTGTGTGTGGGTGAGTGAGTGTGTGTGTGTGGGTGAGTGAGTGTGTGTGTGTGGGTGAGTGAGTGTGTGTGTGTGGGTGAGTGAGTGTGTGTGTGTGGGTGAGTGAGTGTGTGTGTGTGGGTGAGTGAGTGTGTGTGTGTGGGTGAGTGAGTGTGTGTGTGTGGGTGAGTGAGTGTGTGTGTGTGGGTGAGTGAGTGTGTGTGTGTGGGTGAGTGAGTGTGTGTGTGTGGGTGAGTGAGTGTGTGTGTGTGGGTGAGTGAGTGTGTGTGTGTGGGTGAGTGAGTGTGTGTGTGTGGGTGAGTGAGTGTGTGTGTGTGGGTGAGTGAGTGTGTGTGTGTGGGTGAGTGAGTGTGTGTGTGTGGGTGAGTGAGTGTGTGTGTGTGGGTGAGTGAGTGTGTGTGTGTGGGTGAGTGAGTGTGTGTGTGTGGGTGAGTGAGTGTGTGTGTGTGGGTGAGTGAGTGTGTGTGTGTGGGTGAGTGAGTGTGTGTGTGTGGGTGAGTGAGTGTGTGTGTGTGGGTGAGTGAGTGTGTGTGTGTGGGTGAGTGAGTGTGTGTGTGTGGGTGAGTGAGTGTGTGTGTGTGGGTGAGTGAGTGTGTGTGTGTGGGTGAGTGAGTGTGTGTGTGTGGGTGAGTGAGTGTGTGTGTGTGGGTGAGTGAGTGTGTGTGTGTGGGTGAGTGAGTGTGTGTGTGTGGGTGAGTGAGTGTGTGTGTGTGGGTGAGTGAGTGTGTGTGTGTGGGTGAGTGAGTGTGTGTGTGTGGGTGAGTGAGTGTGTGTGTGTGGGTGAGTGAGTGTGTGTGTGTGGGTGAGTGAGTGTGTGTGTGTGGGTGAGTGAGTGTGTGTGTGTGGGTGAGTGAGTGTGTGTGTGTGGGTGAGTGAGTGTGTGTGTGTGGGTGAGTGAGTGTGTGTGTGTGGGTGAGTGAGTGTGTGTGTGTGGGTGAGTGAGTGTGTGTGTGTGGGTGAGTGAGTGTGTGTGTGTGGGTGAGTGAGTGTGTGTGTGTGGGTGAGTGAGTGTGTGTGTGTGGGTGAGTGAGTGTGTGTGTGTGGGTGAGTGAGTGTGTGTGTGTGGGTGAGTGAGTGTGTGTGTGTGGGTGAGTGAGTGTGTGTGTGTGGGTGAGTGAGTGTGTGTGTGTGGGTGAGTGAGTGTGTGTGTGTGGGTGAGTGAGTGTGTGTGTGTGTTTGTGTGTTGAGACGTTACTGAGACTCCTGCAGCCTTCAGATTAAACCTCTGCGGGGATTTACTGCGATGGACACTAAAGATTGTTGCGTAACACTCACGGAGAGAGAGATCTGCTCCGGCTCAGAGATATTTCTGGAGCAGATCAGAGATGCTCCTGCTGGAATATGGGACACAGGATATAAGACGGGAGCTCTCCATCAGGTTCTGCACCTGTAATCAGAGCTGACTGATATTTAATAAACTATAAACAAATATCTCTCAGCATTTTTGACAGTGTTATGTACATTATATATAATAATTGTGCACTCATTTACTGTAAGGAATACAGACAACATCAGGTGTGATTGTAACATCTTTATCATGACTCTTTATTTGATCAGACTGATATCAAACTGTTTAGACAATATTGAACATTTTACACTAAGTGATCAGGCGCACTCAGGACACCCTAGCAACCACATAGCAACGACCTAGCAATCACTCAAGCACTTTAGCAATCACATGCTCTGTCGCTCAGCATCTTGATTGATTGAAGAATTCTGTCTGAAGCTTGTCTTAAGCATGATCTCCGTCACAGATGGACGCGCATTAAAACATTCACAGCAAACTGAATTTATGGCACCCGTCTTATGTTGACATCTGCGCTATGACAGTGTCTCAGTGTTCACGCGCCCACACACACACGCCTCGCTCTCAGCCTGTGTGCTTCACAGCTCAGATGTAGCTGGACGTCAGTGTTCGTGTGTGTGTGTGTGTGTGTGTACCTGGTATTTATCACGTTATGGGGACCAAATGTCCCCACAAGGATAGTAATACTAGTACATTTTGACCTTGTGGGGACATTTTTGAGGTCCCCATGAGGAAACAAGCTTATAAATCATACAGAATGAGTGAG